CCCCCCCCCCCCCCCCCCCCCCCCCCCCCCCCCACACACACACCCACACCCTGAACAGTAACAGTCGGCACGTATACATTTGGACAATTTTATTTAATTACAAATCCACAAAGTACTCAAATTTATTGAAGAATGGCTTTCATAATGCCTTGTGGGGTTACAAATTAATAATAATGGGACGCAAGTAAAAGTGTATGCAAAATTTAACGATTTAATGAAATTTAATGTTGCCGTTCTGTCCTTGAAAACGAGTTAAAATAATATTAACGTAGAACAACAGGTGAAAATTTGTTAAATTAATATTTTAACGCGTTTTCAAGAACAGAAAGGTAACATTAAATTTCGTTAAATCATTAAATTTTGCATACACTTTTACATGAGGAGTGTTTGATTGGGGTTGATTTTTTAAAAATTTATTGAGTTTTCATTGATTTTCACGGCTGAAACAAATAAATCTTCACATTAGAGTGCACGAACTTGAACATCGAAGTCCAAAGCATCTAGACGGATACTGATCATCATAAACATTTGTTTCATCTTCACCGTAGGTGCAGAATGTAAATGTTTTGTCTTAAGAAAAACATGTCAAAGATTGAATAGAAATTTCGACGGAATTGTATTACCTAGTACTTGATCGAGCATGTAATCAATTTCTTTAATCAGAAGACGTTGAATAATACAATTGACTCGAATAATTAATCCTGATTTGTCGGAATGTTTCATTTGAAATTGTTCACGAATTTTGCCCCGAAAGTCTTGAGGCAAATCGGGACAATTGTCAAGTACATTGTCAATCGAGTATGTCGAGGATGGCCAGATATTGTCGAACACGAGACAAGTGACTTTTCCGGATGCTTGGTTGATTTTCGAGGTCGGTAGAATAGTGCTCTCACCAGGTTGATGAGTAATCGATGAATTGTGATTTTCCCATTTTACGTGTAACCTGGTCCAAATAAGAATAAAGCGGAGACCTTTGCAGTCAGGACATTGAATATGACCATGAGTGAGACACGTCGAACAATTGACTTTTCCATGACCGAAGCACCTAGAACACCTATAGGATCCTTGACCAGAGCACTTCAAACATTGACTGTTCGCACAACAAGTGACTCTTCCATGTCCATGACACTCGATACAATTCATGCGACCAGAACCTGAGCATGTTGGACATTGAATATGACCGAGACATTCACACTTCGAACATCACTCTCGACGTTGAGTCTCTTTCAGATCCCGAACGAGTTGTCGAGATTGTGTGTTATCAAGCATAGTTTGATTCGGTCGCTCGAAGGAATAATTATGCCAAATATCTCCAACTGGATTATTGGGTATAGGTTCATCACCATAAAACGGAGCACTGACTTCCGATGTCCAGCGACTTTCTCCGAGTGTCCACAAATTAGCAACATAGCCTGACATAGCTCGTTCATTGACGATTCGAGCAGTAGTCAATGGATGAAGATTGAAACAACAACTACATGTCTTGCTATTCAAGTGTGCCTGGAGCTTAAGAAGTGAATTCGAGTATGGTACTGACGGTAAAGTAGCGTCAGATGTTTGAGGTTTTGGCAATGACTGCATCTCTTCCATCGTTTTTTTCTTTCGTATGAATATTCGTGCTGAAGATATCAACAACTATTTCAAATGTATCAACACAGCTTTACTTATATAGTTTTCTTATCTTTGTTTGATCTTCACACTTCTATTTCTGAGTAGCCAAGAAGATAATACGACATATTGACAAAAGAGTTTAGTCTTTCGTAATACAAAAAATATCTCTCGAGGATGACGATATTTTTGTTGAGTGGGTCTAGTATTTCCATAGAATCACGCAACAATAGACATTTTCTTCAAGATAGGTCCAAATTTGGATGCAGTCAAATTTATCTTTCTTTCAAATGTCAAATGTTTTGCACGAATAGTGTCACCAAGGAAAAAAAATAGAAATTAGGATTTATAACACGTTTCCAAATTCATTGGATAATCGTATTCACAATCAGATGCTTTCCCTGTACTCCAATTGACAAATCTTGTTATACCCGTTGATACCAATTTGTCCGTATCAATATCGTACCCCTTCACAACCATTTTAATTAGTTTTTGCTCTACCCTCTTGATATACAGAGTGTCTGAAAAGTAACTCCCTATTTAAATCATTTATTACTCTTGAATTAAAATAGATATGGCACATAAGCTTTTGACAGTTTTGCAGAGTGCATATTGACATTTTGTTTAAGATAAACGAAAACAATATAATAATTAAACTGTTTGATTTGCGACTTTTTTTGAGAAAATCCAAAGAACGGGACTTTGTAAGGTACCTAAAGTGATCAGAGAAATGTTGTCGTCCCGTAACTCTAACCGTCATATACAGGATAAAAGGTCTCACTGACGTGAGTCCAACTCTTTTTCTAACAGAACGCGATTCTTCTGAGTATGACTTCGTACAGATCTGATCGTTTAAAATTCTGAAATGATCCAAAATTTGAATAGTGACTCGAAAGAAACTCAACAAAGTCATACTTAGACGTCTTGAGTTCTGTTAGAAAAAGAGTTGGACTCACGTCAGTGAGACCTTTCATCCTGTATGTGATGGTTAGGGTTATAGGACGACAAAATTTCTTTGATCACTTTAGGTACGTTACAAAGTTCCGTTCTTTGAATTCCCTCAAAAACGTCGCAAATCAAACAGATTAATTATTATATTGTTTTCCTTTATCTCAAACAAAATGTCAATATGCACTCTGCAAAACTGTCAAAAGCTTATGTGCCATATCTATTCTAATTCAAGAGTAATAAATGATTTAAATAGGGAGTTACTTTTCAGACACCCCGTACATTCGATTATGATAACGAGAATGATAATATCTTCTGTTATATTCTATTAACTCTTCAACATCACCATTTTAATAGGTTCTTATTATACATCTGAGACCCACATCGACCTCATTCTAATATAAATGAGGAAACCTCGAATTGAAATCCGGGAGTTATATGTACTTCAAAAAGTGAATGAGACAGATGAGTCATCCTATAATGTGTGGACATCAAAATTATCCTCGCAAATATTTTCTACAAAACATTTGATTTCTATTGGCTACTTCTCAACCAATAGGATTTGGGGATGAATACAGCTCAGATTTGAACTCTTCGCCTTGATTTATCCCAAGAAAGGCATTTTTCCTCTAACTTGATTTCTATTGGTTACTGTTCGACCAACAGGACTTCATGGCCAATGAAGTACAGATTCGAGTTCTCCGCCCCAGAAAGCCTCTAAGTATCATCTCTGTGATCAGAAGATAGAACTCCAATTGTGCATAGATTGGAGCGTATACAAAAACAGAACCAATTTCCGTTGAATTATCTTTGCAGTAGGTGAGTTAGCCTTCTTGTTTCTTTATGTTTCATATACCATTTTGTAGCTCGTGACATTCTCTATCGAATGGTATATAATAGTTGGCGTTTTATTGGATTATGATAGGAAAAGTTGTTTACGAAAACGGGGAGAGGTCGATTTTCCTATGGGAAGCCATAGGGAAAAATGACTATTTTTGCAATAACTCAGGAATGGCTCGGTCAATCCTTTTCATCTTCGATCTCGAGCGAGATATTGTTGAGACTAAACTGTCTAGAAAAGAACGGGGGCGCATAAGACCGTAATTTGGCCCATTGAACTTTTCATACTGTATCCAACACAATCATATATCGGATGAAAGAGCTTCAACTGGCGAGTACTTTCC